TGCACTTCTTTGATCGTGTACAGCGTTAGCACGTCGCAGAACGTGAAAAGGTGAATGTACTGTAGTATTATAATCGCAGTCATAACAAGTACAATATACTGATAGTGCTATCGGTTAGCTGCACTATAACAGCCCCAATGAACATAATTTGATTTATTACCCTTAACCTATCGATATATGTGTAAACCTCAGGCACTGTGGTAGTAAGTAATTCCATATTCGTTTATTTATTAGATACATCACACAGTGAAACAGTATTATTTACTGGATGACGTTTCGAACAAAATTTATTGTTCATAATCATTTCATCAATTATAATCACACAACTTCGAAACTTCAGTTTTATAGTTTTCGTTGTTCTCTCCTATTTGTCGTCATTGGGGTAGTAGAATTTTCCAGATATCTGAGACAGGTGTTGAATCATTCCTATTACACGTGTTTTCAGTTGATTCGATAAACAAAGCTTCCGTTATCAATCTCTCCCTCCACCCTGTTACATTAGATTTTAAATGTAGATTAGATTAGAATGTAGATTTCAATGTAGCGGTGGACAAGCTGAAACTTGAGGATGTCCTCCCTAAATTAGAAATACCACTAAGTGAGATAGACAAAACAACGGCTGACGAAGTACGGGCACAATGTGCACTTACATTAAAACGACAAAAACGTGGAAAGCCTAACCTGACAAAACCAGAGATAGAAGCGCTAAAACACCTTAAGAATAACAATGATATAGTAATCACAAAATCAGACAAAGGAAACGCAACAGTAGTATTAGACAAATCAGACTATTTGGACAAGGTGAATACTCACATGCAAACAGGACCACATGATGAAATTAATAAATCAATAGACACAGTTATGAATAAAGTCAAGAAATTCACAGCGGACCTTATACGCCGAATGAAGTCGTTTCTAGGTGAGTCTAAGTGGTTTAATTTAATGCCGAAAACTAACAACCTCAGTAGGATGTATGGTGTTAATAAAGTTCATAAGTCAGGATAACCTATTAGACGCATAGTTGATTTTAGAAATTCACCTACTTATGAACTATCTGAATATTTAGTCATGGTATTAAATCCCCTAAAAATCCACTCGAAATCTAGACTAACTAATTCTTATGAACTAAAACATAGATTAGATAATTAAAAATTAGATAATGAAGAGAAAATGGTTAGTTTTGACATTGTCAGTTTATATACACGTATACCAATAAATATGGCTATCGAGACAGTCAGAAACGAACTCATTTCTGACCAAGAACTCGAACTTAGGACAAAAGTGCCACTTGAGGACATAATGCTGGGAGTGCAGCTATACCTGACTTCCACAGTATTTAAATTCCAAGGGAAAATATACAAACAAACTGAGGGAGTTGCCATGGGATCACCAATATCCCAGGTTGTAGCAGATATATTTATGGATAGGTGAGAAAACATAGCGACTGAAACGTTCACCCCCACCCCAAAAGTATGGTGGAGGTATGTAGATGACACATTCACTGTACTTAGAACACAGGATATAGATAGATTTTTCAAACACATTAACTCAAAGGTGGAGGCAATTCAATTCACTTATGAATTAGAAAGTCAGGAAAGGGAGCTTCCAGTGTTAGATTGTAGCGTAAAAAAGGAAAGAAGATGGGAAGTTAAACACTAGTGTTTACAGGAAACCCACACATTCAAACAGATATTTGGACTTCCGATCATTCCATCCTATGTCAGTAAAAATAGGATTGGTGAAATGTTTAAGTGTCAGAGCACAAAAACTAAGTAGTACCAAGGAAAATCTAAGACAGGAAGTGATACATATAAGAAAAGCTTTGAAACTTAATATTTAGTCAGGAAATATATAGGGTAATGTAAAAATAAAATAAATAATGATAGTAGTGATAGTAATAGTAATAATAATAGCAATAATAGAAATAATAATAATATTAATGACGACATGCATGTCATACATGCGCAAGATAATGACAATACCAACAATAAGGAATCTAAATCATCAGCAGTAATTCCATACAAGGAAGGAACCTCGAAAACCTTACGCAGAATTCTTAACAAGGCAGGAATAAAAGTGGCTGGCATTCAAACCCACAAACTCAATTAGAAACAAGCTTTGTCGGTTGAAGGATCCTGTGGTGCCTTTAAAACAAAACAGTTTAGTTTACCTAATACCCTGCAATGATTGTCAGGTCAAATACTTAGGTCAAAGTAGTAGAACAGGTGCAGTCAGACTAGCGGAGCACAAAAACCTAGCAAAATCTAAATTAGTTGACCCGAATAAGATAAAATCTAGAGAATAGTTCAGCTATACCACTCACTACATGCAATTACACACAACCATACAATAGGACAGGAGGGATAAGATTGTGGTGAGAGCTGGCTGCTAGCCAAAGTTGGTAGACAGTAATTGACGTCAGTGTTTATGTCCCCAATATTGGTGGTGAGAAAATGAGAACAAAGGCTTTGCGAAGGCGGATACAGTTAGCATATAGATGATCTGACACAGCCACAAAGAGATGCAAGGTTAACTTTCTGTGAGAAACAACCAATCAAAAGACTGTATTTTCTAACAACAATAATGTACATTAAAATCTATAAATATGTGTTGATTTTCCTTAATAAATGATCTGTTGCCTGGCCCTTGTCTTCTATTGTTACAAGATGACAGTTTTAAAATCTAATGTAACAGGGTGGAGGGAGAGATTGATAACGGAAGCTTTGTTTATCGAATCAACTGAAAACACGTGTAATAGGAATGATTCAACACCTGTCTCAGATATCTGGAAAATTCTACTACCCCAATGACGACAAATAGGAGAGAACAACGAAAACTATAAAACTGAAGTTTCGAAGTTGTGTGATTATAATTGATGAAATGATTATGAACAATAAATTTTGTTCGAAACGTCATCCAGTAAATAATACTGTTTCACTGTGTGATATACCTAATAAACAAACTTAAATGGAGTTAGCCTTTACCTAACTTTTAAGTACTGAAAACAAAACGCAAATGAAAAGAACTCAGTCAGTACATGGTATGTTGTGGTGAGACGTATATATGAACGAAGTAAAATTATTAGTATTGTCATCATCATTATTTATTGTATTCTCCTGCCTTCCCAGTGGAACATACGGCTTCATGACTTGAGGTATGAAGTTCCAGTGTCAGTGGTGTTGTTCTTTCTACAGAGTGCGGCTGCTAGCTTCACACGAAAACTTCCCTTCCTAGTGTACTGACAAGCAGCGAATGGAGGTTAAAGATAACGTCGGCCGGGGAATCAACCCTAGAAAAATTTATGGTTCCTGACTGTTTTCTCGAACATTGTATCGAAGGTGTTTCTAAAGGTAATTACAAGAAAATGGGTGAGAATTAAAGATGTAGTTGGCTGAAGTGAATTCCAACTTCATAAGAAAAAAGAGTTTATTGCTTAAATTCTTTTCATTGGAAATATTATGTTGTTCTGGCTATCTGTATGAATTCATAAAACAATGTTCATTTTCTGTAGGTTGCAAATAGGCAACAAAACCTGTTTCATCTAAATATTTGAATTTTTCAAATACGAGTAATTTCAGAAACCCATTTACTTACACCAGTTAAATTAAACCTCAAGTGGATTTATTGTCTTTGTTAAAATGGTTAAAAAGTGTAATAAGTGAATCCCCTTCCTAGAATTTCTGCAGATATTCTGATAATAGAAGAACTAAAACTGACTAATAGAAATCATTCAGCTAGTGAAGAACATCTAAAGAACGTGATATTCTTCAACTGTTTTTTCCCAAACCACTGCGAAATTATCTAATTAAAAATATTCGTTAGTACTCTGTGATGTAATATAATGGGATTGCCGATTGCCTCCAACCATCTAATATCATCAAATCAATGTGCACCGTGATGGCGAGCTAGCTAGAATGGTGGCCACATTACAACCTGACTGATAGAATTCAGTCTGCACCAAAGAGAGGACTAGACACATCGCACTAGTTATAAGTGTCAAATCAAAATATTCAATACAGTCCTACAGGAGGTCAATCGCGAGCCTGAATTGCTCAGTGGTAACGTCTCTGACTGCAGCACTGGGTGACGCGGGTTCGAATCTCAGAAGGGACATGAGTTCCTTCAAGGTTGCAGATACGTCTTACTGATGAGTGCCAACTAGCACGAAACCTAAGTCCAAGGCTTCCTGTCGATTGCCTCCAACCATCTAATAATGGGATTGCGTTAGATAACTTAGCTAAGCTAATTAGCGAATAATAATATTTATTGTTGTATACCATCAAAGCATACTTTAAGTCAAATTAGCTTAGCTAAGTTATCTAACACAATCCCATTATATTACATCACAGATTACTAACGAATCTTTTTAATTAGATAATTTCGCATTGGTTTGGGAAACAACAGTTGAAGAGTATCACGTTCATTAACTGAATGATTTCTACGAAATGAACTATGTGCTGTTAAGATTCTGTCGTAATTTTGCGTAGTAAGTGTTTTGAGTTTTATATGGTTTAGAAAAAACTGAGGAAATGAAAACGGTTATTGTTGTTTTTTGTGTTTTGAAATATCCTAATTACTCATACAGTTGAAATCTGTTACTGTTAGTTCATAACACTATGCATAATTAAGCTCTACTGTCGAGTTTTGCTGCTGAATAGGTTAAATCTGTCATTATAAGAAAAAAAAAGTTTTTTCCAAGCATAACTTATCTGGCTTTCTCTACTCCCAGTCATTCATTTAATCATCGCATATAAGCTGATGGGCATAAATTAATAATCGATAGATACACTCAAATACATACACATATCTACACAAATAATATACTACAAGTGATTCGACATATTATCGACTAAAATTTAAATATTTTTTTTTATTGCCTAGAGCTCTCCTCCATTCCTTTATACTCATCTTATTTTCTATAATTATAAGGTGTTATTTAAGAGAAGGTGAAGTAATTTGGATTATTTTCTAGTCGTCAGTTATTTATCAAAGTAAGTCAAATGAGGCATACTACAATCGAAAATGAAAACTATGACATATTCGGTGTAACGTGTAAATGTGACACATCATATAAAACATTTAGAAATTTATCATTTTCAGAGAAGGTAATACGCAGTTTTCAAGCAGTATTTGCAATTTTATATCAAGATATATCTGGTATTAGAGAATATTATGAACACTTTATATTGAATCATACAATAAGAAGACTACGTTATGTTACACATATGACATTTTTCTATGTCACATTAAATTTTATGAAAAAACCTTGTGCAACACTGGATTTTAGTAAATCACGTATATTTAGATTTTGTTTTTCTGTATCACTTTGTGTCTTATACTTTTTGTCTACAATACGTGTTTCAAATATATCTCATTGTAATGTATTAAGTATTATATTAATGTTATCAATGTTTTGTCATGATTTATGCGTTATAGATGATGAAAATTATTTAATAAATATTACATATTTGCAAACAATCTATATTACAGTGCCTTATTTTCTCTTTTTATCACTTAATCTTGATGTCTTGTTAACTGTATTAGTATTGTATGTTACAGGACATCATTTATTACATGATACATTTTATTCTTTATTAAAACCAAATAATCCTTATCATAATAGAGAAATACCTACATTAGATACTATAATAAGTGATTCATTTCATTTATTAGTTATAATAAATTTATGGATATTAATATTAATTCCTTGTTTACATGTACATATATGGGGTCATTTACGTGGACATTTAACATTTTTATATTTAACTCAACAAATGCATAGTTTTAATCAAATAAATCGACAATTAAGTCGACAAAAATTTATTCAAAACAATGTTATTCCTAGTGAATTTGTACAACATATTGGTCAAAATGTTAATTACAATCAAAATACGAATTATAGAGATAATGTCAATGACAATGAGGATGATAATAATAATAATAATGACGATCAATACGACGATGACATACTAGGAGAGGATAATGTTGAAATTGATTTGGAAAAGTACAAATACAAAGATTTGAATATTAATGATAATATATCTGATATTTATGATACTAATCTAAACAATATCACCTATAACTTACCACATATATCTTCCTCTTGCATTTTGAATTATCATGAAAATATCACTATAGTATGTGTTAATTTCTATGAATTAAAAGAATTATTTCTAGGTCGTAGTACTTTGGAACAAATAAGAATAATTACCCAGATTTATTCATCAATTGATGATTTATGTGAACAAATGAAGTGTATAAAATTGAATACTATTGAAAATCATTATCTAGCTATATCAGACTATAGACAACCAATAAATGAAAGTGTTATTAATTGTATTAATTTCGCCTTATCATTATGTCGAATAATGAAACGTATTGGATATGAGTTAAAATATCGATTAAATTTACGTGTTGGTATACATACAGGGGATATTGTCACTTGTTTAATGAATAAAGAACACTTTAAATTTGATATTTTCTCAACTAATTTACTGATAGCACAAAAATTAGCAATGACAAGTTTAATTAATCGTATACATATATCAGATGTAACTTATGAACATTGTAAGACAATATTTCAAGTAGCTAAAGGTGATACTATCAAATTAGAATATTCTACATCTGGTTTTATATATAAAACAATTGATACATATTATATTGATCCAAAAGCTTTACCATATAAACATGAAGAGAAAATTATTCATCAGAATCAAAGAGAAATTAGTCATAGAGCATTGAATTTACTTAATGAATTAATCTGTTGTTTAAAAGATGAACATGATGACTTTTTAACATTTAATCAAGAAAATATGTTAGATATACAACAGAGTTATTATCAAAGTAGACCAACACAATTTGGTAAAGTAAATAAGCCCAGCGTAAAATATGATCGTAAACACTTTTTGAGTAGACTACGTAGACATATCTATCATGAAGAATTAGAGACTATTATTAAACAATTGGATGTTGACAAGAGAAATAAAACTAGTAAATGGAAAGAATCTTATCAGTACGCATCAGTTATGTCATTTTCAACGGCTTATATTGATCCAGAAATTGAATGGCATTATCAACATCGTTATCAATTTTCAGCTCCTATGGGACAATGTGTACTAGATTCCGAGAAATGTGCTTTTATGATTGATTTAATTGTTATCAGTGTGTACAACTGTTTTCTAATTAGCTATTGTAATTTATTATTAAGCCATTGGAAATTGAATGGTAAAATCAATATGATGACAAGTTTAACAGAGGGGATTTCAATCCTTTTGTTTACTATAATAGTATGTGTTTTATTTGTTAAATCAAAAGAAAGTTGGCGAGTAAAGAGCATAATTGACAAACTATTTTCTTCAGTAGCAATATGTGATATACTGTTATTATGCTTATCATTATTTCCTATGGTATATGTGTTTTTGCATGTTTTACTTCCATGGATGTTAGGGAAACACGACTTCAAAACTCCTGATAATCCCGTGCATATTATGAATAATGCTAATAATAATAATAATGTTAGTAGTAGTATGAGTTATAACAGCGGAAGTACGAAAATTCCATCAAATCACATTGAACTGCCGGAGATATATCGTCAGTTATTAGTATCATTAGAACCATTAGTGTGCATGGCACACTTTTTACCGACTGCAATAAATTTTCGATTAGCATTAATTGGACTTGCATTAAATTTAATATATATTCTTTTTTGTAATATTTTATTCTTTCCACCTAGTTTATTTACACGTATACCTAATAGTATGAAATATTCAAGGAATGATAGTTCATATTTCTATTTGCATACTATTGAAATCTTGTTTTTTATAGTGACTACAACAAGATTATGCAGAGAGTCGACACAGATTCATCGTTTGTTATTTTATCATAAACGTGAAGCTGATATACAAGTAGAGGCAACTGCTATGTCTATTGAGCGTACAAGAAATTTATTAATGGATATAATACCAAGGGAAATTATTTATCAAATAAAAAATAATACTTCCCTAACTAAATCAATTTATTTAATAAAACCTGAAAATTTCAATGATAACAGTAAAATAGAAGATTATTGGATAACTCTCGAAAATGCTGGTGTTGTTACAATTTGTGTAACAAATTTTTATTCAGAGCATATTTTTACTGTTAAAAATTTTGAAAGTCAAAAATTTAGTAATTATGAAGAACAATACTTCCAGTCGATTGATACACTAAATAAACTGATGAAAATGTTTGATCAATTATTAGATAATCCATTATTTTATGATGTACAGAAAATTAAATCCTATCATCATTGTTATATGCTAATGAGTGGTTCTAAACAGACCGATAAGTCTCTTACACATTTGATAGCTTTACTAGAATATTGTTTGCTAGTTAAAGATAGTATAAAACAATTTAACACTGAATATTTTTCAAATCGTCAAGGTTTCACACTGTCGATTGGTTATCATTGTGGTGAAGTTATAGCCGGTATGATTGGTTTAGTGAGACCAATATTTGATGTATTCGGTGAACCAGTGGATATAGCTAAAAAAATTATGCTTCAAGACATAGTGAATGAAGTTGAAGTTACAAATAAAGTGAGGGAGCTGTTAAAACTGAAATATAACTTTACTAAGAATGGAAGCATCATATCTACCATAGATGATGAAATATCTATTTATTCATGTGCACCTAAGTTATCAGCTTAAATATTGATTATTTAGAATATACACCACAACTCTTGCATAACTGTTTACTTGTTGTTGATGTTTTGTTAACATATTTCACTTGTTAATTATTTTAATGGATTAAATAATAATTTATATAGTTTAAGTACTACTGAAAGTTTTTCTGATTTAATTCTGTACATGTCAGTATTATAAGAGGGTAATATATTTCAAAGTGATGTAAGTATCCAGAAGATTATATTACTTCCATGTGTAAAAATTACACCAATGATCATCTTAAAAGACATTTAGAAAAGATGTAGAAATGGGATCTCTAATTTTAGAAGTAAGATGAAATCTATCATTGTAGTCTGTTGCTTAAAAGTTTCTATGCCTAAAATAGATTTAATTAATTAATTTTTTATAAAGGTACATGAAGTCAACAACAATGATTTTTTTGGAGTACACACTATAAATACTTTTTCAATGCTCTTATTATTTTTCTAATTACTGTGAATATTTATTACTATTGTTGAAGAAAAAATTGTCTTGAATAATTCGTTTTCCGTGTATGACTATTTACTGATTGTTTAAACACAACAGTCAACGTATAGCCAGCAGTTTACATCACTTCTTACTGATTAAATGCTATTACTACTCTAATCACTTGCTCTCCTTGACTATAAGAAATCAGTAATCAATATTTTAAATTGTAATCAGCTGTGTTTGGTCTTTTCAGTCGTTGATATACACGACTGAATTGATTAGCGTGTCTTAGCCTATGGGTTTTTCAATAAAAAACCCTAAATGATACATGTTTTTGGTTATTAGTTATGTATATAGTAGTGAACAACTGTGGAATCAAGAAACCGCATTCCACTTTACTTGAGACTGGTCATCTCACTCTCGTAGGATGACAATCGATAAGATTCGGACTTTTCAACTGATAAAGGAGTGGCACTTGGTCCACTTAAATCCATTTTAGCTTATCCTAAGTTGGTGTCTATGGTATAAATTGAAGGGTAACAGCAGAAAGCAAGACATAGAAGCTAAGGTATTCTGTAGCTAATGCATTATTGAAGTGCGGGAATATATGAGAATAATATTCCGTTGGAACACATTGTCCGTATCACACCACCACAATATGAATGTTCATCTTAAGTAACTGTTCACAAAGCACGGATCCAAAAAGCTCGAGCTGCTTTCGCTAACTTACGCCATCTCTGGCGTAGGCGTGACATCCAGTGAGTCGGTGGCACAGCGGTTAGGACGCTAGCCGACCATGCACATGGTCCAGGGTTCGATCTCCGACCGACGCGCACCCAATATCAATGGTCGGCCTGCGAAATTTGGGCTACCGATATCACAAGCTGAAAATTCTATACCTGTACCAAAATACTGTATGGTTCAAGCTATGATAAAAAATCAACCAAGGGACGTGTGTACTGCTCAGCAGTTCGCTCCATCCTTCTCTATGGCTCTGAAACATGGCCAACACGAGTTGAAGACATGAAAAGGTTGACTGTTTTTGATCATAGATGTCTACGATCACTTTCTCACATTAGGTGGTATAATAAGGTAAGTAATGTTGACGTTAGGCGTAGAGTGTTGGGCAAAGAGGGAAAATCAATCGACGAGGCTATAAAGTTACATAGATTCAGATGGCTAGGTCACGTGCTGCGCATGCCTAACCATCGCTTCCCCCGACGGACATTACTAGCTGATATAGGTGCAGGTTGGAAAAGAGTAAGTGGTGGCCAAACAAAAACATGGCATCAATCCATGAAATCCTTAACAATTAAACTGAGTCAGGTAGGGAGATGCAGACTTCCGGGTTGGGGCCCGCCCTCGGGACTCTAAGAATCAATGGCTGGAGACAATAGGTGACATGGCTCAAAATCGTTGTCAATGGCTTACGCAGATGTATTCAGTCTTTGTAATCTTTCATATTCCTTTCTACCATTACTCATTCTGTTTCACTCTTATACTTGTCAAAACTCTATTGATTCTCTTCACTCATTTTCTTGTCTACCTTTGTGTGCTATTTGGAACGTGACAACTCGAACTGCTGCACTTCGGTGCCAAGTTCTATGTTGAATCCAGACAGACAGATTGTCCACAAATGTTTTTTGTTAAGTGAAATGATGAAACATAGGATATTATTGGATGAAACATGCATAAAAAGTAAAGTTTTTCACTCACTTAGATACTCGATATTATCAAAATTATCTGATTAGAAGATTTAGATTGATCCGACACTGTAAAAATATCCTGTGTATTGTCTATAGCATTAAAGTTTTCAATGAGTCATTTAAAGATACGGTATCTTCTAGTATATTGATTACATGAAAATTGAATGTAAGGAAACAGTATCGCGTTTCTTAACTTTTTATTTCATGAAGATATGAGATCAAAGGTAAAACCACTTGCAGTTACTCACTGGATTATATTATATTTTCATCGAAAACTAACTAACTAACTTTGATATCATTAATAGGAGATTATTGAGTAAACTGATTTCACCTTAGAGTATTAATGTAGCGTGTGCTATTGATAAGACTTATCAGTAGTATATAAGGAGACGTTCATCGGCATAATAATAATAATAATACAACAAAAGACCTAAACGATGAAATAAAACAGATAGAAGAAGAGTTGGTGTTAAATAACTATCCCATAAAATTCATTTGGAAGATGAGTAAAGGTCAAAAGTAAAATAAAAATAATGGGGAAACTAATAATGATAAAACAGATAAGAGATGAATAAATGAATAAGGCATCTACAGTAGTTTCACCATATAAGAAAGGAACATCTGAGTACCTATGTAGGATTCTTAATAAATTAGGAATTAGAGTGGCATTCAAACCTAAAAACTCACTAAGAGACAAGCTCTATAGGCTAAAGGACCCGATGGACCCAATTAGACAAAGTGATATTACTTGCAAATTACCTTGAAATGACTGTGAGTTAGGTCAACTACATAGGTCAAACTAGTAGATCAGGAGTAGTGAGATTATCAGAACATAAGAATTTAGCTAAGGTAAGAATAGTTGACCCCGTGAAGATAAGTAATTTCGGGAAAAGCTCGGCAATTTCATTGCATGCATTAACACACAATAGGGTGGGAGATAGTTGAAATTCTAAGAAGTAATATAGGTATGTGGAGAGAGAGATTGATTACTGAATCTTTGTTCATGAAATCTACACCCAACACGTGCAATAGGAATGACTTGTCACTCATACAGGAAATATGAAAAATACTTCTACCAATTAAGTCAAGCAATGAAAAATAATGGAATTATATAAACGAAGTTAGAAAGTTGTGTGAGTAACTCGATATGATTATGAACAATAAATTGTGCTCGAAACGTCATCAGTAAATAATACTGTGAGACTTTATCAAAATAAATTTTACCCACAATGGAATTATACTCTACCCGAGTGCACAAGTTCTATTATATTAACGTCTCCAGGACTGCAAACAGGCATCCTGCACCTCCCTAAATGACTCAAAGCAACAGTTAAAAACTTCATAGGTTGGTGCCAAGTTTCTATTTGACTATCCATAATTCCTTTTTGAAAATTAATTCCATATAAGCCCACACTGTCTATCGAACATGGTGGAGGTTCAGCTTGCGTAACAGGCATCCCGACCATCTTAATCGAGCCTACTTAAATATCTCATTGACTGATTTTCATTCTTTACCTAACACTCCACATCTAACCTCAGTATTATTCCCCATATTATAACACCTAACATGAGAGATAGAACCCAGATACCTACACTCTTCACATCGTTTACTTGCAGCTGCCATGTGTCACAGCTTCAAAGGAGGACCGAACAAATTTCCATGCATTACACTTGTTCACTGATGGCTAGCCGCATATCACACCCACGCCAAAGATTACACAGGCTGACAAAAGATCCTCGTGTCCGTGCTGAGATCATATCAGCAACCAGTCGGTTACAGCTGATGCAATTTCCCGAATAAGAGAAGTGGTCAATATGTGCAACTATTTCACTCTTTATCCTTAAAGTAGGAGTTAGTATAGATAACGCCTGTAGCATTATCTGATATATCCAATTAAAAGTTATTAACGCACTTGTTACTAAAAAAAGAGCATTATAGTGACTTAAATTTATTAAATGGTAAGGAGGAAATCGATACAGAATCTTACATGGGAGTATGCCAGTTCGATTCGCCACATTATGAAATGATAGATGAAGAAAGAGACTACAAGAATCACACTATGCTATGATGCATAAACATGAGCATGGAAGAAATGGTTACATGAAGATTTGTAAAAGGTGAATGATTTTAGGTTATATTTCTAAAAGTTTTCAGATAGGTATACTCAGCCTTTTTATAGCCATACCTTTATTATTGAGTTAATTTGAATTCCCTATTGATTGAGCCAAATTGCTCGTTGGATAACGCTTTGATGTTTCATCAAATGATGAGTGCAGGTTTCCAGTCTCAGCAGGAACATAGTGACTCACTGGGGTTTCGGGTAAATCCATATGACTAGTCCCAAATAGGACGAAATGTGCACCTTTAATTCCACTGTTCGTCACCAACAACCAAAATCAAATAAAGCTCCAAAATAGTAACTGGACATATCTTAATTTGCTGTTATGTTTAGTCTTACCAGATATATTTGTTTACAAATCAGCTACTTTTTTCAGGAATTACTACTCATCCAGAGATATAGCAGCTGGGTATGTCTTTGAAAAGTCAATAGCTCACTGATTGAATTCCAGCAACCCATATCTAACGTTGACTGATCAGTGGGAAGTGAATTAAAACTGTGTTCGGTACAGGATACTCACAGAGATAACTTAAATTTCTGTAGGACAGCTTTTGAATAAACACATTTGAACTTCAAACTGATTGAATGATTAACCAATATTAGAATATGTGGTTTACTGTCTACATATGTAATTTAACCATTTAAATAATTGAATTCGTGCTTTAACATTGATTTTTGTTTGACACATTGGGCCACACATGATACATCAATTGATTATATTTTAAGGTATTATACCATTACTTCTATATTCTCATAGATGAAATAAATATTTTGCAGTCATAATATGAGAGTAAATGTCTAGAATTTAATAATCAGATTGGAGTTGTTGA